GGGGGGAAACAGCGCGCATTTCCAGGGAAATCGACTCGATTAAATCCAGTGGAAAAAGGAGATGCCTTTAGGGGAAGCTTCGGGCTTAATCCGGTCGCCGGCCGGCTGCAAAGCGGAGCGGCTCCTTCGATCTTGTGGGTCCAATTTGTCATACGCATTTTCACAACTCGGCTCCTCCGGTGCACGCCGCCTCGGAGAGGAGGAGGAGGAGGAGGAGGAGCAGGAAACCGATTTTAGCGCGGCAGGAATCAGTTGTTTGGAAATGCAAAAGCGACTTTTTTGCAAGAGCCATTTATATAAGGGGTTGCTGCGGAAAGAAGCCGAGGTCGCGTTCACACAACACACGAAACGAGGCGAAACGCTCCAAAGGTGGCTTATGTTCTCTTGGCCGTTTAGACGGGGGACGGGGGGGGGGGGTAGCCAGCATTATGTAAAAGAGGCAATTGTTATCGTTTCACGTGTTTAGAGTGATCGTGTGAAACCCAGGCCGTGCTTTAGAAGTATTTCCCAGCCAGCTCAGTAGCGCTGATCCCCGGGACCTACAACTTTAAATCCCTTCGCCTCTAAAGGGTAGGAAGTAATGTGGATTATCCCCTCTCCAACCCCTCCCCCCCCGCGTGTATATATTGAAAGAGTTGCGTCTGTAATTAAACTTTGAACTCGGTAACCTGCAACGCTGTTGGTCTCGCGTCGCCTTCTCACGAGCCCCGGGGCGAAGACAGCTTCTCCAGAGGCCGGGACGCTCTTTTCCTGCGTCCCGGAACCGTTGTCCTTAAGACACGGGTTGTGCGTTCCCACGAGCAGGTGCTTGCAACTCGGCTTCAATCTTGGTCTGGCTTGCAAGGTTACTTCGCAAGTAAACTGCACCGAACTTTTCCTCCGAGTAGTAGAGCCCCGGGAAAAACGCGTGTTTTCCACACACAACCCCATCTCAAAGCAGCTTTGGAGTGCACGGAGGTCGTGGGAACGTCGTTGCCTCCGCATTCCCAAAACGGAGAGCACGGCTGTTTTAGTGAGTTACCCACCTCGCTCCCCTTTCGCACCCCGATTCCAGGCTTGCACAATTCCGAAGTAAGCACTTATTCCCTCCCCTCCCCCAATAGAGAAACCTTTAAAATCGAGTTAGTGCGTGTTTGCTCAGAATTGCAAAACTGGGGGGGGGGGGTGGAGGAGAAAAATAATGCAATTCCTCCTCCCAAATCGCCCATCACCCCCGATTTTATTTTTATTTTTATTTTTTTTAAAAAAAGGTTCGACTTTTTTTTTCTTTTTTTTTTGCTTCGAGCTTCCTCAATCTGAAAGCGGGGCGTTGAGGGAGGAATACGGCCGAATTTACCCGGGCTGGCCGAGAAAGGCGCACCTCCTCCAGCCTTCCCCCGCAGCCGTTTGCAACCGGGAGAAGCCGCGTCGTGCCGCAAGCAGCACCCGGATCGTCTGCTCCTGCAAAACCCCCACCCCGCCCACCCCGCCCGTTGCACATACACACGCACACGCACTCGTGTCTTTTGCTCTGTTTACTTCCGCCGGCCCCCACCGTGGGCACGCGAGCCTAGCGCCGCGCTCGCCCCGCCGCTCCCCGGATCGCAGTGCAGAACCGGAGCCCCGGCGCGCGCGCTCCGGAGCCAGCCAGCCAGCCCGCCCGCCCGGCCTCCCCTCCCCTCGCTGCGGCAGCGCCCCTGGAAAAACCCCCCTTCCCTTTTGCAAGGTCGCCCCCTCCCCGCTTTTGGGGTGGGGGAGAAGAGAGAGAGAGAGAGAGAAACACACACACACACATGCACACACACAAAGAGGGGGGAGCCGGCCAGCCCACCCGTTTCCCCCTTTCCCTGCGCGAGCGTGTGTGTGGATTTCCCCCCCCCCTTTTTTTTTATTTTATTCTGCCCGCCTCTCTCGCTCGCCCGCCCGCCCGCCCGGTTCCAGCTTCTCACTATCCAGGCGTTTCTGCAAAGCGGGAGAGGGAGGGGTCGAGGGAGGGGGGGGGGCGGTTGGCGGGAAAAGAAAAGGCGGAGCAGCGGCCAAGGGTTTATAAAGCAAGCGGCGGAGTCCTGCAGCTCAGAGGCGACACGGGGGGAGGGAATCGGAGCTAACCGAGGAAGGAGGCGCTGCTGCTGCTGCTGTTTCTGCCGCCGCCGCCGCCAGCCGGGGCATAATAAATAAATACGAGCGTAGGGGATCCGCGCGTGCACGGAGCCCCACTCCCCTCCCCGCCCCCTTTTGCTTTCGCTCCCGAGCCGGCGCTTTTGAAAAAGGGCTTGACTCTCCAGCCTGGGATTCGGAGCGGGAGACGCCGCCGCCGCTGCCGCCGCCCGCGCTGCCGCCGTGGACTTACAATATCCGAGCGCCGTGTTTAAAGAGACGCCGAAGGAAGACGGTGCAACTGCGCGCCTTTCCCCCTTGGCGGGGTGGGTCTTTTGCAAAGACTTGGATTTTCCTCTAGAGATATATAGATATAGATATAGATATTTCTTTTTTTTTTTTTTTTTTTGCACCGATCTTGGACTCCCCAGCGCCGTCTTGGCCGGGATCTGAAAGGAACCGGTAAGTTTGGGAAGCGGCTGTCCGGCCGGCGTTTCGGCCGCCTCGTTTGCTCGCTCGCTCGCTCGCTCCGATCTCTCGGGCCGGGGCGCCAAAAGAAGGCGCGGGGGAGGCGGAATCGCGGAATCGATCCGCCGGGGGAAGGGAACGGGAAGCAACCTTCCTTAATGCCGCCTTCCGAGCCTTCTCCAAAGGCGGCGGGAAAGGAGCTTGCGCCGCCGGCGGCTGCTGCTTGCTGCAGTCAGAGAGGCTGGCGCGTTGCAAAACCCTCCGGGCGCGCTGGAAGACTTCGCCAGACGATTTGCGCTCCGTGCCCGGGTTCTCCTGCTTGAACCTTCCCCGTTTTGCCGGCCGCTTCCCCGGCCCGGACCTGCACCCGGCGAAGGTGGAAAGGGGGTGGGTGGGGGGAGGATCCGTTGGAAGGGGGAGAGCTGTTGTTGTCGGAATAGTCTTCTACGTGGTTTGCGGGGTGATCGAGCCGAAGTGACTTGGAGAGGCGGGGTGGGNAAAGAGGGGAGGTTTCCCGAGCCCGGAGCGCCACGAAAGTCGAGAGCGGCCGGCTCAGAGCGCGAACTACCGCGGAGGCGGCGGGAGCCGAGCGTAAATCCCGGACAGGCGTTGCTGGAAAGCTGCCCGCCTTCCTTTTTAAGGTGGCACCCGGGGGCGCTGGGGCATGAAGCCGGAGTTGAGCTGATTCTCGCTGGGTGGCGCCTCTCGTGGGGGGGGGGCGGCGGAGGAAGAGGGTGTAGCCGAAGCCACCCGGTAAAATGAGCCGCGCTTGGACGGCTGTCCCGCGCCTTTCTGCGCCCCAACGGAGCGGACGCATTCCGGGTCCCGGGCTCACCTGGCCAGACGCGTTGGCCAGCTGGCCGGGGAGAGAGCCCGGCTCTTGAGTAGCGCTGCGCCCCGACGCCTGCGTTCCGTGCTGGAGCAGCGCCCCGCTGGCTTCGGTTAATCCGAATTCCGGTTTTGTGACGTGTTGGTCGCTCCCAAATTCTCCAGCTGAAGAAGTGGGCTGAACGCGCGCCCCGGAGTGGTTGTAGAAGCGAGGTAGCGATTCCGGAGTAGTTGCCGTGCTAGTTTCCTCCGGGATGTCTCATTTCGTGGTTGGCGTTCTATTTAGAAGCAGGGTATAGAGTTGCCGGAGGTAGCAGCGACTGGCCCCCCATTAACCAGATCCCCCTTTTTCTCCTTCCTGCCAGGCACCCTCCAACGCCATGCCCCTAACTGTCCCGAGCTATCCCAGCCGGGCGTACGATTACGACTACGACTCAATTCAGCCCTATTTCTACTACGAGGATGAGGAGGAGAACTTCTACCTGTCCGGCCATCATCGGGGCTGTGAGCTGCAGCCTCCGGCCCCGTCCGAAGACATCTGGAAGAAATTCGAACTGCTGCCCACACCGCCCCTCTCGCCCAGTCGCCGATCCAGCAGCTTCCCTTCCAGTGCTGACCAGCTGGAGATGGTGACCGAGCTCCTGGGCAGCGAGGTGGTCAATCAGAGCTTCATCTGCGATCCGGACGATGACGCCTTTGTCAAGTCCATCATCATCCAGGACTGCATGTGGAGTGGGGGCTCGGCAGCAGCCAAACTCCAGAAGGTGGTCTCCGAAAAACTTGCTTCCTACCAGGCTGCGCGCCGGGACGGGGCGGGGGCCTCACTGCCCCTCCGCAGTGGGAACTGCAGCAGCAGTAGTAGCCTCCCGTTGTCTTCTTCGCAGACCTCTGCCTCTTCTCCCAGCAGCGCCTACCTGCAAGACCTGGGGGCCTCTGCGGCTGAGTGCATTGACCCCTCTGTGGTCTTTCCTTACCCACTGGGGGAGAAGACCCCCAAAGCTGTAGAAGCTGCTGCTGCCTCGCCTGACCCATGCCCAGCTTCCTTGCTGGGCCAAGATACGCCCCCAACCACCAGCAGTGATTCAGGTGAGCAGTGGGCTTCTCTTTTAGGGCCCCTTTAACACACTTGGGGGGTGGGTGGGGAAGGGGCTTCCCATTCTAGAAGGTGGGATTTGGGCTACCCGGGTGAAGGAATGGTCCCGGTGGTGCTTAGAACAGGCTCCCGGGCATTTGCAAAGCATGGACTTGTAGGTGAGGTGAGAAAGTTGTCAAACTGGAAATACTACACTTAGTATTATGATATTGCATACTGGAGTAATTCATTAGTACTGTTCCAGCCGCTACCAAAATCCAAAGCGGTGTGTTCATTCTCATGGACTATATATACATAACAGCTTTCTCAAGTTCAAGCTGGGAAAGTCTATGAGCAAACCTCAAAGAGTGGCACTTCTGAGCAAGCTTTTAGCTGGCTAACCAGGATACGGGGTAGCCTTTTTTACGTATTTTATTTTTAAACCAAGACCAAAACTGGCTTGTACTGTTTCCACCTGGCTACTTGCCTTTCAGTCGCCTGAAGCAGCTTGGAGTGGCTTGTTCAGCAGTGTGAACCACCCCAGCTTTCATGACTTCATCTCTCCTCTTCCAGGTGGCATGAATGAATATTCCCATTGTACAGATAGGCTCAGTGAGGCTGCGAGGGGGGTGGGGCTGGGATTCTGCCAGGCTGTTGAGAACTTACTAGGACTGAAAAGTTGGTTCTGCCACCTCGAAAAAGGAAGTTTCAGGCAGGGATTAAGAGCTGCCTGCCCCTTTTTTTGAGAGGAGGGGGGGGGGAGTTGAATGTTTGAATACCTTTTCCTCTTAAAGGGGGGGGAGAGAAAGCTTGAACATTCGGCTTCACTCTAGAAAGTTTTACTGACGTAGCCTCCCAGATAACGAAAGCCTAATGGAATGTCCTGCCTTTCCTTACATCACATGTTGGCTGGGCTGAACATTTGAGACCGCGTCTCCTCTCTCTCCCCTGCCCCAAATACTTCAGTTGCGCAGCAGCTCCCCTCCCAGCATATGTGTATACTCTTAGTACGCTGCCACGTTAGCGACACACATGGGCCGGGCTTCCCAGGAATTGCATTTCCTAGAAAAACTGGCCTGAGACAGATCAAAGCCAAGCTCCTTTTTCAGTTGGGTCTAATGGGGTCACCGCAGATCTTCTCCAGAGCGGGAACTTTAAACCCACTGGCTGGGCTTTAATCATGGCGCTTGTCCTCTGATTGACATATACCTGGTGAGAAGGGGGGGGGGAAGAGATTCAGAGGAGAGAGAAAAAGGAATGAGTTTTGGAGAATCATTGGGGATCATTCAGCCTGCTTTTTGGCATGCCTAGATAATAGGGTTGTGCCATTCCCAGAATAGGATAAGCAGGGAGGAATTGCTCCTGGCCATTAAAACTTAACAAAGAACTGGGTGTGGTTCCAAGGATTTTACACTTTCTCACATTACACACTCGTTTGTCTCTTCTTACATGCAGTAGTTGAGAATGTGTGGGGTGTGTGAAAGACAACATGTAGTGACCTTCCAAAGGCTGAAGGTCAGCTCCTACCATTCCTAAGTAGCCTGGAAATGAGGGATCGTGGGAATTGTAGTATTGCCACCTTCAGAGTGTAGTAACTTGGTTGTCTTCACCAGTGGTTGGAGGAAAAAAAAAAGCTGGCATATGGTAGATAAGGATGGGCCTTGGAGACAGAGGTCATCCCTGTTAAGTAGCCTAAAAATTCGCCTTTTTTTTTTGGCTGAGATGCTGCGCAGAGTTATGCAATGCTACAATTTCAACATCCGTGAGATGGCCAGGATTCAGTTAAGAGTTCTTTGGAATTGTCATCTTGGTAGAAATGTGTGGGGTTGTGTCCTCAATTGCATAACAAGCTAAGATCTGCCCTTTTTGGAGAGAAGCCCATTTTCAGAAGCCTGTGCATTTGTCATGTGTCTATAGTTCCTGGCACCCGTTTCCAGCTTGGCCAAGGCAGACAGATCAGGGGAGGCTAATCCCGCCTTTTTCTAGGGGGAAAATAAATTTTAACCTTATCTCTCTATCTTGTTTTTTCAGAAGAAGAAGAGGAGGAGGAGGAGGAGGAAGAACAGGAGGAGGAGGAAGAAATTGATGTTGTTACTGTAGAAAAAAGGCAACCTGCAACCAAGAAATCAGAGTCCACTGTTCACACATCTGGGGGACACAGTAAGCCCCCTCACAGCCCTCTGGTTCTCAAGCGCTGCCATGTCCCGATCCACCAGCACAATTATGCCGCCCATCCTTCCACACGCCACGAATACAGCTCCGCCAAAAGGCTAAAGTTGGACAGTGGTCGGGTTCTGAAACAGATCAGTAACAACCGCAAATGTTCAAGTCCGCGCACCTCAGACTCGGAAGAAAACGACAAAAGGCGAACACACAACGTCCTGGAGCGACAGAGGCGGAATGAGCTGAAACTGAGTTTCTTTGCCCTGCGTGACCAGATCCCCGAAGTAGCGAATAACGAAAAGGCTCCTAAAGTGGTCATCCTTAAAAAGGCCACCGAATACGTCCTCTCCATCCAGTCCGAAGAGCATAGACTTTTAGCGGAAAAAGAACTTCTGAGGAAGCGACACGAACAACTCAAAAACAAACTTCAACAGTTGAGGAACTCTTGTGTTTAAAAATAAATAAATAAATTGAATAAGTGTTGCTATTAATATTATTAAAGCCTATAAAACCTATAAACATTGGGAACAGAAGTGGACCTAGAAGGTGTGAAATATCAACCTGACATAAGTGTTGTCATCAACAACACCAACCCTGCGTAAATGTTATAATGGACTCCATTTTGTAAAACTGAAGAACTGTTGCGAATGCATGCCGAACAGCCATCCAGCATAAAGGCTGGATTTCTCCAAGCCTTGTCTAAGAACTGATGAAAATTTGGGGGTGCAAGCTTATGCTTGCAAAAGGGGTGAGGGTTGTATTTGGGGGGGGGATGAGTAATGAAGTTTTTCCACTTTCTTTTTTGTATTTAAAGCATTTTTCTCTTAAAAGTGATTTTGGACTAGCTGTTGTCAGAGTTGCTGTAAATATTTACACAGCCTAATGATATGTAAATATCTTTAATAAAAAAAATCTTTATAGAAAAGGTTAAAAAAAAAGAAGCCGTCAGCAGATCATTAAGATCACAACTTAATGGTTGTGGCAACTGAATTTATAAATTGTCTTGAATTTTTGGTGCCATAACATCTCTCACAGATTTTTGCTCATTCTTATTTAAGTACCTTTTTTGTCATTTTTTAAAAAGATCTGATTTTATTTTGTGTTTATAGATAAATAAACTATTTCCCGTAAAATTGTAACTAGCTATATAAGGTGTGTTTTCTTGGAAGTTTTTAAAGCAATGGAGTGTCCTGAAAGATCCTGAAACAGCAGTATGGATATTTATGGATTGAGTTATTAAATACCTAGAGAATTATTCCGATAGAGGACTGCTATGTATGCTCTCCTAATTTGTTATCTGTAGTTGGGGGGGCTCAGCCCCACCCACAAATATAAGTATGGTGTATTTCAGGTTAATGCCTGCCTCAGATTTGCAAAAGTTTGCAGAAGACTGAATCCTGCCGTGTAAGTTTGAAAGAGATAATACCCTGTTCAAAACACATCACATGGTACATCCTTGAAGACTTGTCAGTCATCCAGGCAGAATCATCGACATATTAAAATGCATTTTGGGGAGAAAACCCCTGAGGTTGGGGCGAGAGTTGGTACATTCCATCAACTCTGCCTAATTGATTTGCTCTGACTGATGAAGCTGGGTGAGCAGCGAAATGTCTCAACAAAAAAATTAATCCAGTTGCCACGACCTTTAGATACCTTTGCCTACCAGGATTCAATCTTGAGACATCACATAGTAATTAGCTAAATCAGGAACAGAATAACTGCTTATAACGAACTGCATATAATCCAAGGCTTTCCTTGAACAGTTCCCAAAACTGTCCAGTTTGCAAACTGGGAACCTAAGATGCGATAGTTTTAGCTTTTCATACATTTATTTCCATACTTCGTATGAATCGTGCATGCTAATGAAGGTTGCTCCTGGCACCTCAGCAAAACAGAAGGAAGCTTGAAATTCCACATTTCTCATTGCTGCTGTATGGAAAAAAAGTTTTAAATTGGGGGGGGGGGTTATGGGTTAGCATTGTAGTATAGTGTTAACACAACTTGGGCCGGAGTTAACAATCAACAACTTTTCAACAGCTGCAGATAGATTTGTCAGCTTCTGGCGTGAGGCCATCAGACAAGCGAAATGGTAGACTGGAGTGATGCAAGCCATACCTGACGTAGGTATGTTGCTGCTCCTGTTCTAAATGGGCAGCTTTGCCAAGACATGACCTGTCTCTCTTGTGTCAATTTCACTCACACTTCCACACCAACCCTGATGTCCTAAGTTACAACTGTATATTTGCAACAGGGTCTGTCTCTCCGGCAGCTTATACTGTAATGCATTGGGCCATAAATCAGTTTAGGGATCACCTTGACTAGGCCCATAGAAGACCCTCGGTTGCAAAATGTGCTTTAGCTGAGCACATGGACTGAACAGAGCCACTGATTTGAGGCTTGCATTCTGGGTTAATGGGGGAAGTGTTTTGCCCGAATCCAAGCTGGCTTATTTTGGGTCATTTGAAGCACGCGCTTTCTCAGTTACAATCCTAGTGACTTCATGCTGTCATCCTGATGCATTAGGATTTCACCTCCCATCATTCTTAGCCAGTGCATAGAAGGTCACCAATTCCTCCACCCCTATTACAATGAACTTTGTAGCTCTGAGGATCAAGCTATAGGTGCAAGAATTATAACTTTTTTTCACCCTTTTTAAAGAGACAGATGCAGATGTAATTGGTTTCTTCCCATCCGAAATAAGGAGTTTTGAGGGGCTGTCACGGCATCTTTATATTTTATGAATAAAAGGGAGTTAATTACAGAGTACCTTTCCTGAGTATTTATGCAGCTGGACCAAAAATTGGGATTAGGTTTACACAGAGGTAAGCTCCCCAAACAAATCCAATTCTGTATTAATACTAAGAGATCTCTGAATCTTTTCCTTCGTCCAAAAATGACTTCTGCAAGCCCAGGTATATAAATACAAACAACAAACTCCACATAAAACAAACACATTTCAGATGGAGTAACAGTTGGCAAGAACAGATTAAACTGAGATAATTTATCTGCCTAGTAAAACTGCTTAATTATTCTGGGGTATTGCAAAGATGCTTGCCTTTTGATTTGTTCTAAAGCACTGTATTCCATTGGTGCAATCTAATAGAGCAGATCTTTTCATAAGCATTTCTGCAATAGTTCAGAAAAGCTCTCTGAAGTAGTTTTATGGATACGCTGTATCTGGGTGGAGTTTATTTTTGTGGGGGGGGATGTACAGAAGTTTTCTTCCCTTCAGGGTGTGAGTTTCTTTTCCAGGGTGAATTATTTGTGCCTATAGACATGTCTGTCCTTAACCCAACTCTGGATTACAGTTATATCTCTCCTTTGGACCATACCAATAAGGATAACTATGCAGGAGCGCATGTTCCCTGTTGCTCTCAGGTGCTAGATGTTCTAGATTCTAGAAAATGGATCCCTTAATAGCTGGTAACCATCATAGCAATAAACTTTGCTTAGTAATATAGAAAATAGAAAATAGATGAGTTGAATAGTATTACTGGACTTCTTTTGAAAGATCTGTGACTTGCAAAAGAAGACAGGTTGAGGTGGAAGACATTTGCCCATACAGAGACCAGATATTGAATCCAGCTTGGTGGAACCTAATTATCCTACAGATGACTTTGAAGCATTGATTTGCCCAGAATTGTATAACTGGGAATGGAGGATGCAAGAAATTGGTTAATCTCCTGAAGTCCTTATAAGATAGAATCTTAGATGCAGAGTTCCTGAAATGAACACAAGGTGATAGGTAGGAGAAAAAAAATCCATGTCGACTAGCCCAGAATATTGTGATTGGATTATCATCATCTTTGTTCCAGGCTAGATTGGATTTGCCTATGGATGCCCGTCATTTCTACCTGGCTTGCAAGGGAGACTCCTGAAATCAGCCTCTCGCTTCTTCAATGAAAACATGACCCGTGTTGTGCTTTTACGAGGAAATTGCAGATGATGAGAGAAGGAAAAAAGCCTACAACATTTGTAGCTCGACCTCTTCTGAGTGCAAAACTGCTTTGTTGTAGGGATGTGTTTGCGTTCAGTCTTCTAAAGGGAAACCAAAAGCAGTTATTGATTTACAAAATTTGAAGGCTTCCCAGGGGTTCAGCTGCTTGAAAGAGCTGAACTGCTCCCAAGAAAGAGGAATAAGATGTGAAATAAGCAGTCATGTGTACACTTTGAAGAATCCTTTCTTGTTTATGTCTTTGATTCTTTCAGGAGTCCCATGAGGAGAAGGGCGGGGTATAAATTAAATTATAAATAAATAAATAAATAAATAAATAAATAGAAACAGAAAATTCCTAGCCCTCCTCAATATGGTTTTGCTTGTAGGGGATGATGATGATGATGATAATATAAAGTTGGAAGGGACCTTGGAGATCATCTAGTCCAACCCCCTGCTCAGGCAGGAAATCCTATACCATTTCGGACAAATGGCTGTCCAGTCTCTTCTTAAAAATTTCCAGTGTTGGAGCATTCACCGCTTTTGGAGGCAGGTTGTTCCACTGGTTAATTGTTCTAACTGTCAGGAAGTTTCTCCTTAGTTCTAGGTTGCTTCTCTCCTTGGTTAGTTTCCATCCGTTGCTTCTTGTCCTGCCTTCAGGCCCTTTGGAGAATAGCTTGACTCCCTCTTCTTTGTGGCAGCCCCTGAGATATTGGAACACTGCTATGAGACTGACGGATGAGACTGATGGAATGATAAGTTGATTCCACATCTCTAGAAGACACCAAGCTATGCACTTTTGGGTACCATGCTTCAAGAAAGATTCAGAGAAAGCCGAATAACATTAAGAAGAACAAGACATATGACTGGGGACTAGAAACTTGTGTGGGAGAATTAAGAAGCGAATATATTGAGCCTTGAGAATTTAAAAATTAAAGTATGGGATAACCGGCTCAAATTCTGGAGAATGATTGCATCTAAGAAGACCAAGACATTACTGTCTCAACTTGCAGGGTACAGAATGATATTTTCAGTTTACAGGGCAGCAGGGTGTACGCTGATGTCAAGAAGAAAAATCCTAATAATCAAAACCATTTGGCCACCTATTATTTGAAACAGCAACAGGTTCCTTTGCTGGGAGCTTTTGAGAAGCTGATGAACAAGCCCTTCACTAAGGATGCTTTCATTTCAAATCCTGGCAGCTGAACTTGATGACTTTATCCTTCCTGTTGATCTGCTAAGACCTTTACTGACTCATAGTCCAGGTTTCTGATAGGCAAACCTGGCTAATGGATTTCTTTCCTTTACTTTAAGACAGTGGTTCTCAACCTTTTTAATGCCGCGACCCCAACCGGTCGTAAGTCGAGGACTAAACCGGTCGTAAGTCGAGGACTACCCAACTGGTCGTAAGTCGAGGACTTTCCCTGCCCAGGAGCGCCGCGCATGCATGGTTCCGCCCCCTGCGCCGGCCGAGGCGTAGCTGGCAAGCGGCAGAGACGGAGCAGGCCGACCACCAGCTGGCCCAGCCCAAGGGAGGTAAGGCACCCGCCGGAAAAGGGGGAAAAAATGGCGGACAAAAAAAATGGCGGACAGCCTTGCTTGGCGACCCCCATGAAATGGTCCATCGATCCCAAATGGGGTCCCGACCCACAGGTTGAGAACCACTGCTTTAAGAGACTTTCACTTCATTGCACTGGAAGAGAGGAAAACTAAATCCAAAATCTAAAGATACCTATTAGCTTACGGCTTTAAAATGAATGTTGTTTTCATTTTTTTCTATTTTTACTGTCTTGTTTTAAGATATGAACTTCAAAGGGTTTCATTTCATTCTAAGTCGTGGGAAGTTGTTTTTCCAATTTATTCTGCAAGATCACACGTCTCCTTGTACACTGTGTCCAGTATGAGATTCTACTTTTTAAGAAGAATTTTATAGAAAATCAAACAGGTATAGCGAAGAAACTAGGTCCTACCGGGAGAGGTGATTAAGATCTGAGCTTTTTACACTAATTCTGAGAAGACTAGAAGGAGAATCCTGGTGATTCTAGACCAGTGTTTCTCAAACGTTGGCAACTTTAAGATGTGTGGATTGCAACTGGGTGGACTTCAACTCTCAGAATTCTCCCAGAATTCTGCAAATTGAAGTCCATACATCTTAAAGTTGCCAAACACTGATCTCAAGAGAAGGACACAAAAT